ACCTTCTCTATGGAATCTGTTGTGCTTTCCAAATAACGCCTTCCACGAGCCTCTTCTTCACCTAGTTTCGTATCCGCGTACATCATATAACTTTGCACGCCTTCCGAAGCCAGAACCTTTTAAAGAAGGAAATTAATAATCCGATCAATCTTTATTTCAGTTTATCCTTTGAAGATAATAAAATTCTAAAAAATGTGTCGTTTAAGCAATACCTGAGGAGCACGAGACTTATAAAATCTTTCCGTATCATCGATGTAACCTCTTTCAAAATTATCCTTGTACACTGCCAAGTTATCTTCAGTATTTAGGTTCAGTGATACTGAAATTGAACTCAATTTAAAAATATATCGCACTAATCAACGATAACCTATTAGTACGTATCAGTACAATACATCGCAAACTCAAACTAGTTTCAGTCATCATAGCGATTCAGTTATCCACATAGAACAATAATTAAGCTTTTATTATTAAAGGAATAATGACGAAGGACTATAAATTCAAACAGGAAAAATAGATGGAGTGAGATTACCGTATGATTGCCGAACACCAATAACAAGTTGAGGATCGAAAGCTTCACCATTTCGTTCCAGTTCAACGAGACGCATTGCTGCACTTTGTAGCTTATGTTTTATAGCCGCGAAAATTGTTTTACCCCAATCATTCAACATAATCTGTAAAATAAGAAAATGCATGAAATGCAGCTACAAACTATAACAAGATGTATGTTTTTACGCAATATGAAATCTAGTAGAACCCCACAAAATTCCACAGAGCTAATCATGTACTGATTCCAACACATTATAGCATTTGAATTCACGTTTATATATGCCACTTTTAAAATGTGGCAATCTAAAAAACACTTCATCTACTCACATAGACGACTGCAAATCAAAAACGTTAAAAATAACGATTGTTATGGGAGCTAGAATGTCGAACAATTAATAATCAGATTTTACATCCTCCATTTCTGTTGTGAAATAATTCGACAAAGTTAAATATTATCATTTAAGAAATGAAGTTGTTACTTATTTTTGGATCTGTCTATACAGACCAGAACGAGAAAATTTTCGGAAATTTTGAAAACACCACACAAAGAAATATTTTCTTCTCGAAAGTTTACTTGAACTTATATGAATCAGTTGGAGATAAAAATGCAGCATTTAAGGTTAATGTCCAATTTGATTTAAATTCTTATTAAAAGACTTAGTTGCACAAAAAACTGACATACCGATGAAACTACAATGCTTGGTTCTTTCACAGAATTTTTTGGTTTCAACACCAAATTATTTTGTTCTGAGATATAGGAAAAAGGCTTTGGAAGATATTCCGTTTGTGTATAGAATTTTGTCCATTCTGAGATATAAACTCTTAAAATTGCATTTTCTTCTTCGTGTTGCATTATACGCTGCAACAAAAGTATTCAATTTATTGTCAATTAACAATTAATTTTCCATATTATAAAGAAGCTATTTCCTCTAGCCTCATCACGAAATTTTTCATAAATTCAAATTTCGAATTACTAACTCTTTCAGCGGCAACAATATAACGATGCACTTCCGCTTCTAATTCTTTGCGAACCATATCACCACCGCCTTCTATCCAAGCACATATACGATGAACGATGGCAAATAACTCCTGCCATTGAACTTTACTTACACCCTAAATAAAGACATTGTTTAGTACAAGACGTGATGACCAACTAAAGAGTGGGAACTGCTTCCTTTCGCTGCAAATATATAGCTGGATACAAAATGAAATGACTAATACAATCATAATAATCCAATATTTAATTTTCATTATGGATTTTTACAAATTTGTTGCCCAGAACTTTTTCGGAGCACGGTATTCAAAGATAACGAAAGAGCTAAATATCATCAATTTTTTCCTTTTTGTTCAAAACCGTACTTCATTGAACAACTCGCTAAATTGGAGCTAATTGATAGTTCCATAATGAGATCTAAGTCAGGCATAAATACGATTATCTTATTTCACTGCATAGCTACTGATAGGGCAGAAATTAAAGTTGTTGTACTTATACCATTCTTTTCGTTCTGACATAAGAAAAGAATACAACAGAATAAAATTAATTTTCCATTATTCATATTTTCGAAACCGTATCTTTTGATTCAGCAGTGATATTACTGTACTCCTTGCTTCTCTCCATTCTTTATCGAAATCGACAGGATTGGCCGGACCCTGAAAATCAGTGATTAAATTTTCTCTAGAAGACCTTAAAGGAAAAAAGTTTTCGGACCTAATGTAGGTCATTTTCCCAAACACAGGTAATAAAACCAAGAACCAGCTATAGTTTTGTTCGCACTAATAACGCAACTGATACTAACTACCGCCTGCATGATCTTGAAAAATGACCTTCCTATCATAATTCTTTATCCTTAAGTTGAATAATTACATTCTTCGTCCTCATGAATTATGTACGTACCTACTACTGCTTCTGGAGTACATATTGCAAAATAGAAATGTGAAATGAAATCCAAGCAGTGAAATTTAAAATAAAATCAAAAAAACTTACTCGCAGCATTTTCCTTCACAAACAATTCTTGTACAAGAAGCCTCCTATATTAAACAATAAAGACAATGGAACATCACTACGATTCCGCCTTACAATCTGAAATAATTCCGCTATCATTTCTTATTACAACTTAAATAATTATGACATAGCAGCATATTTAAATTTACTTTTCGGAAATTTGAATAATTTAAATTTTTCCATAATTAAAATGTGCCTTGATAATAATCGAAATATCCAAAACATATATGATATAATCAATACGAAATATTCAATACATTTCAGCTCTCTTATGCATTCAAATTTTCACGTATTAGTAGCATTACTTATTAACAGTTTTCACGTCTAGCTGTATGAGTTTTCCACGTATCAGTTGTCGTGGAATTACTGATGAAGTAATGTCTATGACAAAAACTTGTTAACTTATACCACAGAAATTAAAGAAGAAAAATTCTACGACAATGTAAAAAAAACAACCGCCGTAAGAGTTGCGCTAAGACTTTACGTGTCAAGTGCTTCGGACGTGAAAACTACCCTCGTTAGAAATCAACACTACCACTTAAAATTCTCAATTAATACACGCACCCGAGACTACATCGTCGAACAATTTCACGTATCATTGCCTCGCTGTTTACTATTTTTTTATTCTCTCAACCTCTCGCCTTATGTGTTGGGTTAATTCTTATTGGTCTTATCAGTCTGTCCCTCTCGTTTCCAATATCATTTTTCATTCGCATTTACTTATCCTCTAATATTCAACATTTAAAATATTTCATTACCGTCCATTACAGGTGAAGACATCGAGTTGTGGAACAGATGGTTAGTTACGGGTACGTTTCACGTACAGAATTGTGGAACAGATGATTGGTTACGTGTACATTCACGTATCTATACTTTAGATGAACTTTGAACACGTATTAAACTTCCTATATGAATACAACTTAACGCTACCATCAGAAAATAATGATAAGTGTCGATCAATTCATCTATTTGAAAGAATATATCAAATACAATTCAATATCCACGGTTTTGTCGATTTCTTGATCCGATTGTTCTCGATGAGGCATGGCAGCGTCTTTTGTCGAAATCTGTTAAATTGGAAATTTTTATAATTCCTAGCAAAAGAAAAGAGAAACATATATATATATATGTATGTATAAATGAATGTGTGTTATCATTCTATTACCGTTAAAAGAATCACACAATTCTGAACGTATGAAAGAGTCCCGAGGTCAAGTTCAAAGTCTTGAACTTTTATTAGGATTTTCTAGCATAGTTCGTAATGCACGCATGTCATTTTAAGACTTAAATCTCTTTATCTAAACTATCTATTACTCATATCTTTCATTCTTATTCTTTAGAAGAATGATCCTTTACCTGTAATGATATTTTTTTAGGATTATCTACTATAAAATATTTTCTATAATTTAATCATGCATAATAATATTTAATCTACAATAACTTGATTTATTAATCTAATTAAAACTTAATCATAGTCGTAAGTGACTTAATTGTTTCAAATTATTTAGTTTATCGAAATCATGATTGGATTCTTCTGTTGCACAGTACTCAATACGTGACATTTTGATAAATTATTGTGAAGTATGAATAGTTGCAAACAATTACCAGCTAAGAGTATCAAAGCTTTCGTGAAATTTCAAATTTTCACCTCACTCTTTGGCATCTTTCACTCATTCTTAACATCAAGAAAAAGAGAGTTACTTAAAATAAATGATCTAACCTCTTTGGTATTTATTAGTTAGTGATTACATGAATTTCATTTATTGATTTTTTCGAAATCCCTGAGAGAAAGATAGATTGAATTGAAATTGTAAATTCCCGTAAGATTATTAGAGGTAGGAATGCACAAATGGATCCTGGAAATGAGAGGGCTATCATCTGACAGACGTATTTTTTAAAGAGAGATGGAAGGAATCTTATGGAAGGAAATTGCAAATGCTATTTGTTGTTTCAGGAGTCTCTTCGAATTAGTCTTCTCAGAAAATTTCCAGAAACAAAATTGATCAAAATTTGAAATATTTTGTGATTGATCAATGTCTTATTACTACAACGTTTGAAATATTGTAATTGATCAATGTCTTATTACTGCAACGACAATATTACGATATGCAATTTTTTGTTTTCATTCATTTTCAGCCGGTTTTCCTTGCTATAAATTGAATGGATGGCAAAATAAATACTATTAAAATTTAATTAAATTAACTAAAATACAAAATTGGAAGTTAAAAGAATGTATCAATATTTATTGAAAATTATATGAAATAATAAGAATAAGATAAATTTAAATCAAGAAATTATTAATATAAGTTTAACAAAAATGCGGATGCCCTGATCTTCTAATATCTACAGCTTTTCCGCCTTAAACATTAGCGCCAATATTCCTCTAATCAAGAATGCTATCAACTCCAAATTGCGAGGCGTTTATGAATAAGTTACTTTAGTGTGCGGCAGTATGGAAGTACAGCTTTTAGCTTTAGTGGCTCAAACGGTAATCATGGTAAGTTTTGTCGTCAAATTTTTGCTTTTTTTATTTGCTTGGGTCAGTAGAATAAAATATGCAGGAGAGATGGAAATGCCGATTATGGGAATAATTATTGGAGCCAAATATTTGGAAATTAATCAGCTAATCCTTCTCTAATTGGAAATCAATCATTTAATCCTTCCCTAATTGAGAATCAATCTGCTAACTCTTTTCCAATTACGAATCAGTTAATTGGTCTTTCTTTAATTTTAAATCAGTTAATGTTGCCTAGAATCTTTTTTTACTTCAGTTGCTACAAATCGGGTGAAAATGCCTAGTAGTTCCAAGACGATAATGAACATCTCCTTGAAGTTAGAGAATTCAGATGATGCATTTAATAAAGGAAAGAATACCTGTCAGTCATCTGAAATGTTGCACAATACTTAACAGTCAAATCGTTCCATTTTATTTATTTGATAATTGTATTTTCATTGTCTTTTTTTTCTTTTTTTATAAAGTATTATTAAGAGAAAATATAGTTACCTATTGCAATTTTAGGCTGTTTTAGCAGTGGTTGCAGTACATTTCTGGTTTTGTCCTACAGATATAAACAAAATGGAAGGTAATGTAGTGGATTCAGATGGCAATGAGAATGAAAACTTTAGAGATGTTGAAGAATCAGCGGGTAACGAAATTGATGAAGAAGAAATTGATGAATCCGAAGATAGCCGAAAAGATTTCGCATCATTTACACCAGATGAAGAACAAAAGAGAATTTACATGGAAGAAATGTGGGAAATGGCTAAAGAACAGAGAAAAAACGAAGAAATGAAAGATATGAATAAGAAATTAGAAATTAAATTAATGGATGCACGTGAAATGGAACTTTTGCGTAAGATGACAACTGAATCTGAACGACAAATGACAGCTATTTGTAAGGGTGCGCAAGATCAATGGTTTGGTATAATTGAAGCTTGCAAGCATAGTGTTTATGTGAATAATGTATGGATTGAAATTTATTTGTTAAATTGTTTTAAGATTAGCATTCTGTGTCATTCATCATTAGCCTTAAACTTCGAACTGTAACTTTTATTAGCAAAAAATATTTTTTGCAAAAATGAAATAGTACTGAACTAATATTATTCCATAATCAGATTTTATTCTTTTGTAACCTTTAAACAAATTGCTCAATATTCTGACCTAACCTGTTTTCTGGTTTGCATCGTAAATGCTAATAAACAATCTTATCATTATTAAATGTTGTAAATTAAAACGAAGTTTCTGAAGAATTTATGTTTAATGTGTCATTTAACATTGTATAGTGTCAAAGTTAAGCAGCTATTATTACAGTTTTATCAATCATAATTGAAATAAATTTAGCTTAAATAGCATATTAAGTTTCTTTTATCATTATTGCTAATCCTGAAATGACTGATAATTTTTAGCTTAATCTAGGAACAAGCAGAAAGGAATTGAAGGATCATTTTGCAAGTTGTGGAACTATTACAACTATTGAATTTTGCAAAGATACAGTTAATTATCGTTTTATTGGGTAAGTTATCATTGTTGTTGAAATTATTGTTGTATCTTCTTGATATATCTATTTTGGATCATTTATTGTATTTACGAACAAATCACTAATCATAACTTAATGAATTTAAGAGGAAAATGAATATCTCATTTTAATTCATGTATCATAACTTCGGTAAATGAGTATAAAGCTTAAAAGAGTTGGTTAAATTTCAACAAATGTTAGGGGTTTATTTCGAAATTTAAATTGCAATATCAATGATAATCAGTTATTTTTCAAGGATGAGCTCTGCTCGGATAGAATTCATTGATATATCTGCCAAATTAAAAGCATTGGATCTTACAGGCACACTTTTAAAGGGTAACAAAATTGATGTTAGTTTATCTTCTTTTCTTTCTTTGAAAAGTATTCCTAGAATTAAATACTATTAAATAGTAAAATAATCGGATTTTATTTTGATTCATATATTATTCTTAATCTGCCACTAACTGATAGATATTAGTCTTAGAGATTATTAAAAATCCAACAAATATCAAAGTAAGCAAGAATTCCTTCATTTTATTAGCAATAATAATAATGACAGTATTTTTAGTTTGAGAAAAAATAATTTGAAATTTCGAAATTCCGCAGAGAAAATAATGGTTAATTAATTAACTTGGCAAAAGTATGAATATTCAATTTAATACAAATTCAACCATATGCAAATTGAATATTTAATTTGATACAAATTTAACCATATGCAAATTGAATATCCAGCTTCAATACAAATATGAATATTTAATTTAATACAAATTCAACCATATGCGAACATATACAACTTCATATGAAACTTTCAATAGGTAACAAATGTTCCTGCTCCAATAGCGCGTTATCGAAGTCGTCGTTTGTGCTACAGGTGGTTTAATAACCGTCAGTACTAAAAAGTAGTATTGTTGTATATCAGGTTTGTCGTTTATCAATATTTGATAGTAGTAGAATTGATGACAACGTATTAGTTATCAAACAGATTTTTGGGTGTCGTATCGTTAACAGTACGAACTACTAATATTTCATATCTTTCAGATTTTAGTATTGTTCATTTGAAATAAACTTACATCTGTTTGTGAAGTATTCATTCGATGAAATTTTCCATTGATATAACCGTAAAACAAGATAAGGAAGGAATTGATCGGAATGCTATTTTTTATAGAATATAATTCTATAAAAAGGATATAATCAATCCTATAATTCTATAAGAGATTTATAGGATATAATCCAAATATCTTCGCTTTTCTTTTATGTATTTTTTGTGCATATTACGCTATTTAAGGAAGAAATCTGAAAGTAACAATATTCTGCGAACTATACAAGATATTCATGTTCTTCTAATTTCATTAATAGAAATTTATTTGCAAAAATTTAGGTCAAATTAAAATTTCTACTGTTTGTGTAAATTCTACAAATGTTACTTGCCATCTTATTATATGACCGTTGAAATTACAGTTTACTTTTGTTACTGTGTTATTTCATACTTATTACATATACAATATTGTAACTTATTGATTGTTTCCTCTTTTTCTTTTCCAAACTTTGATTTTTAAATTTTGAAAATTGCAATTATATTTTTATTATTTTTTTCTTCACTCTATTACATATTATTGATAATTTTTCGAATATTTGACATGATTATTAAATGAATTTCAAGGTATTTGCTTACAAATTGTCATGTGATCTTGCAACAGCTGCAATTTTACTGCGAGCATACTTTTATGATTCGAATTATTGAATGAAATTGAACATTACATAACTTTGAGTTCTGATCTCATTTTTGAATAGCATTTAATTTCTACTTTCATCGAAAATGAAAGTGAAACTAAAAAATGCCATCAAAAATAAATAGTAAAAATATGTATGGGAGTTTTTTTTAATGCAACTATTAGGATCAATAAGATTTGCTAATGAAAATTAATTTCAAATTAAATTTTCTTTTGCAGATTGTATCATTATTTCATCCTTCTATTTATTATTCACTAAGCAATTTTTGTTTAGCACATTTCGTAAACACATAAAACGCCTGCTAACTTGAAATGCTTGATAATTTTGTCCAACACAAACATCTATCAATTATTGCTGCACGGTAACATGTCGGTGATAAACTGATCAATTATTGCACGGTAACATATCGGTGATAAACTGACATGTCAACAATATCTGATATAATTTATTCTTTAAATTAATGAAACAAGTCGAACAAATTTCTATTAGCAAATGATAAGAACTGTTAGCAAAAAATGATTAGCAAGTAGCCTTAATTATCAAATTAATAATTATTTATTTAGATAGAGAAGAAATTAGTCTCTTCCAACTGTCATCTATTTGATTTCTTCCTTTAATAGTTCTATCACATTTGCAATTCAGTAAAAAGCATAAGTATAACATCAGAAATAAGTTATCGTATAATAATAATTAAACAAATGAAAATTTCATTAGTTATTAAAATTATTTTAATTGGATTTGAAATTTACTCTTTACAAAAATAGTACTGTAAAATTATCGCGGAAAGAAAGTGTAACTATTTTATATTATTTTAAGAGTACTTCCTTGCTGAAAGATTTCGAAATGCACTTTTTGCAAAAAAGAAAACATCACATTAAAAGCAAACACTGTAACGTATCGTACAGAAAGCAGTGATATTTTTCAGGTGATATGGTATTTTCAGATGATATGGTATTTTTCAAATGGTATGGTATTTTTTAGATAATATGGTATATTTCAGGTGGTATGGTATTTTTCAAATGGTTTGGTATTTTTAGATGATATGGTATTTTTCAGATGATATAATACGATTAAAGAGATTTGACATATAATAAACAAACGCATGGGCATTCATTCTGAATCCTTCCAATTTATTTCCAATATATTATTATTTTGTTAATAAAAGTACCACAAAAATTGGTACCAATAAATCATTCAAAAATTTAAAACGATAAGAAGCATTTGATAATAGTTGCATAGAGAAAAGTGAAAGAAAAATGAAAACAAGAGAAAAAAGAAATGAAGAAAAAATGAAATAGAATAAAAACGAAATTACATAATTAATAAGCATCAATTTAATAATATAATTACTATTTCAAATTCAATTTTCTTAAAAATCATTTCTTTTTTGGATTTATCACCAAAATGTTGAAAAAATTTTAAATTAAAATTTCATTTCTATCGTTTAAAAAAATTTTTTTACCTCATTACAACTCTTTCAATGAAAACTCATTAAAATTCCATAATTTAAAATTCAAACTGCATTAAGATCACTCGTACTTCGATATCGAATTTAGCATTCCACTCGAATTCAAGAATTCCTCTTTTCCCTTTTATACTGCCTACTTCCTTTTTCATACTAGGCTGCCTCTTAAACATTTCAAAATAGCAATGAGATATGCGAAAAGCTTGCAATTAAATGTGTATTGTATAGTTTATTCATATTGGAATAGGTAATAACCATCTCTCTTACCTTAGTTTACTTTATTTTTAGGCCTGAAAAAAAATTTGATCAAACAATGGCGTCAGTAGTGTAAACATGAATGAATTGTAAATGAATTGATGGAATTGAATTTAAAAAAATAAATCCATTTCAAATAATTATTTCCATTGATGTGACTTTTAAATGATGATTATAGTTTATATTTTCCTGAAGCAAAATCACTCAATTTTTAATTTGAATGAGAATCTTCAGCTATTCATTCGGCCAGCAATGACAAGAAACTTCAACTTTAGCTTCAACTTCCGAAACTTTCAACTTCAGAAACTTCAACATTTGGTCAGCGATAATAAGGATTATTTATCGTATAACTAGCCATCGGTCATTTCTTATACCATTTTCTGCACACATAAAGAAAACTGAATTACAAATTAAAATTGTCACAAAGATATGTTTTGCAAAATATGCTCCATTTTTTATTTTTGAAATTTTGATAGAAAAGAAATTCAAACTTTCGACATTTCAACATGTCAAAAAGTTTGAATTTTTTTCATCGAAGAAAAACTGAAATCACATATTGCGAGAACTCTCTGAAGACTTCGTTTATCCTTCAACTCTTTAAAATTTATGAAGCATTTCAATCCTACTTTTGCATTTCTTCCCTCAGTTATGTACTTTTTTTGTTTTAAAGCTGTCATTTGATCTTCATTTTTTCGTTGTGAAATATGATAAGTTTTGTATCGTTATCTATGATAACTTTTTTTACTGATAAACTGATAATTTTACTCATTTACTCTAATAATTAATAAAATCAAATTAATCACTCTGTCATTTGATCTTAATTCTTTTTGTGAAATATGATAAGTTTTGTATCTTTATCTATGATAGTTCTTTTCTACTGATAAACTGATAATCTTACTCATTTACTCAAATAATTGATAAAATCAAATTAATCATTCTGTCATTTGATCTTAATTCTTTTTGTGAAATATGATAACTTTTGTATCTTTATCTATGATAGTTCTTTTCTACTGATAAACTGATAATTTTACATATTTACTCAAATTGATAAAATCAAATTAATCATTCTGTCATTTGATTTTAATTCTTTTTGTGAAATATGATAAGTCTTGCATTATTTGAGTTTTGCATCTTTTACTATGATGGTTTTTTGTTCTATTCATTAACTGATAATTTTACTCATTTACTAAAATCAAATTAATCACACATAAATATATAAAGTTAAGAAAAAAAGATAAAAGTAAAAGAAATTAACAGACTTAGCATATTTAAATTAAAAGCTAAATCTTGCTTTTTCATTAGCTTAGTATTTTGTTTACTTAAAATGAATGTTTAGAATGTCTAATCTCCTAAGAGATTAGACATTTTAAACAAACGTAAAATGAAAATTCACTTATAATTCATAGCATTTCATGGCTGTTAGAAAATGAAAATAATCGTAGCATAAAACAATAAATGAAATTATAAGTGGTTTCACCTTTTTCTTTTTATTGAATGAATAATAATTGCGCATTACCTGTTATAACAATATTATAATTTGTGTGCCTTAAATACATTTCTGGATGATAAGAAATAAACCTTTAAATACATTTCTGGATGATAGGAAATAAACGATGTGATATAAAATTCGAAATCTTAGTGAAAAGTTATCGGATATTTTATTTTTAAAAACTCAAAATGAATTAATAGTGCATTAGGCTAATTTAATGATATATGATCTGTTAGCTTATGTGATATGATGTGTCAGGATCACTTGATTTACAACTGTTATCATTAATCAAAAAAATTTAATTAATATAGTTAGAATTTTATAGTAAGTTTATCGATGTAAACACATTGATAAACTTGCTATAACTAGTATTATAATTTTATACTACTTAGATAAATTCTCTATGCATATTTATTGAAAATAGGAATGTGTATATAATAATAATCTTTGCAGAGATATGATTCTCGGCTGAATAGAGAAAAATGAGGAAGTATTTATTCACTTACTAATCATTTCAGATTGTTTTGGTGATAATTGGAATTAAGCAAAAGAGAATGAAGCATAGGTTCGAATTTACAAAAGCTCTTTAAATGCTCTTTTAAAAGATTTCAAATTTTTGTCATTGTCGGTCAGGAGATTTTAAAATTTTCACTTATTATTATCAGTCTACAATTATCATTATTCTTCATATTCCTCTTGGCTTCTTATAGCACATGACTATTATATATCTTAATGATATATAATACATACGATAATACTTAATACATACGATACTATCATTTAACACAAACATACAGTTTACATGAACATACACAAACACCTACAAGCTTTTCGTTTTTTCAAAATGATCCATTTTATAATTCAATAAAGTTTCTTCACGTATTCGTATTTTAAAAACCAACATTAGATTTTTTATTATTTTCACTGATAGTTTTGATGAATTACTAAAATTCTGA